TAAATTGTCTGTGTCTCTACCTATCACACTAGTACCTTGACTTCACAGCCTCTGTTTTAGAAGAATACTCGCTGCCTGACTAATTGCTTATTTTAAATATGCATAGTAACCTATGGGATTTAGATATAAGCCACTGTGGTAATAAATCAGAAGTGTAACTTGAAATAAGATACCGAAAGCCTTTAAGTATTTAAGATATTAAATAAAGTAAAATTTCAATCTGTCCTGCCTTCAGCAGTATCCATATAATTTTTCTTAGCTGTTGTTGATTTTTTTTGTTTGTTTGTTTTGTGACTCCATCACCTATGTAAAATATAGAAATGCTTTAAAATTTTTTATATTCTAGTGTTGCTTAGGCAGTTTCCGAGTATGGGGCTGAACATCTCAACATCCATTCGTAATCTTGCCTGGGTTATATTGCCACTGGTGGGGGAAGGATGGAGACCACAAGGGAAACTGTGCGTTAGTAGACAGCATGTGGCAAAACAGTGCTGTGTCATTCCTCCCAGTTCAGATGGTGTGCTCATATTCTTAGAAGGAACTGAAAAAGAGGACAACAAAAAACTTGACCAATTTTTTTTTGGTAGACATGAAGAAGTTCATACATTCCAAATCAGGCTGCTAAGTCGTTCCTTCAGATGAGATATATATGGTGTGGTTATTTAAGTTCTAGCCCAACAACCATTTAATGCTAGTCCAGAATATTTTATGTGAGCCTGGCTGAGATGTATCATGGACTAAATCCTTCGTGTAGTTCTGGAAGTCCAGTAGGGGTACATGCAGATGCCCCAAACTAGGAGAGTTCATTTCCTCACCATGGTTGTGTACCAGGTGATAGACCTGGAGAGGAGCCGCGGTCTGTGCTGGGTCAGTGCAGAGGCTGCTTTTTTCCCACCGTTACCTGAGAAATGTTTGGGGAAAGTACTATTTCACTCTTCTGAGATGAAATTCAGCTTTGTAACAGCTGATGTATTAGTTTAGGCTCAAAGGCTGAGTAATATCTTAGGGGTGGATGTGGGCCTTGCTTAGCTTTTCATAGCTGTGTAAAATTTGACTCAGAATAAAAGAAGATTGATGAAGGCTATTTGCTTCTCCTTTCCTTCTGGGATGAGCACTGAGAAAAAGCATGGGTAGAGAAGCAGGTGTCGGGGATGCGGAGGTGTTGGTGCACTGGTTGTGGTTGAAATGTTGGAAAGCAAATCCCTGAAGGGGAAGACTGGGGTAGTCTGTGGTGCCACACTGGGTGCCAGGCCTTCATGTATTGACTGTAGGGAATACTGTAGGTCCCATTGACGTGTGGAAAAAAACCCTTTACAACCTGAAAGGTTATAAAGTAGGTATGTTTATTGCCCACAGATGCACAGGGGATCGCTCCACCACAAATGTGCATGCCCATCGTGGCCGCTTGTCCAGTATTTATACAATTAAACCACTACATATTCCAGAGACACCTATACATATTCATGATCTATCCCCAAAAAGGCAGTTCCTTCTGGTCACTCCATTTCCATAATCTCCGCCTTGGGCCCCTCGGTGCGCATGCACAGTCCCTCCAGGTGGTCGTGAACAGGGGTCTTCAGGGATGAAGGCCGTAGATCTTCCTCGCTGTGTACTTTTCACCTCTCCCCTGAAATCTCTAATTTGGCTGAGCTTGCAGTCCCAGACCAGTTTTGGCCTGGTCTGTCCATGAGTGCACGTCTGGCTACCTCCCTTTTGTTATTGTTTGAAGATGGATGTTAGCTAGCCCTCCTTAGCCCTTATCTCCTCCCGCCTTTGACACCTTTGAGCCATGAATTACATCCTTGGTCTTTTCTGTTTCCCCTTATCAGCTTCTTTCGGAGCCTTCTTCTCAGGCCGTTTGCAGGGGTTAGTAATTAATTGCCTACTTGCATGCATGTTAGTTTTGGGAAAACAGGTTTTAATAGTTTTAGCGTTTTCTATGTAGCTCTCTATTAATATTTTTGATATATCTTCTGTTAGAAAGTATATTTTCTATATGGCCCCCTATCACCATTTTAGCAAGAATGAAGTTGCTGTCTATAACAGAAGAGGTGGGAAATAGAATGAGAGGCTTATATTGCTGAAGGGATCTGATAGCCTCTGGGTTTTTATAACGGTGTCCTGAGGTGGCTGGGGATCAGCCGCTGTTTTAGGTGCCATGTAGTGGAGTATCGCAACTTAAGCATGTTGCTGTGCTGGTGCGGAGTCTGGCTTATGGACTGGAGCTACTTTTCCTTTAGGATAACAAAGGAGGGGGGGTTGGAAGCAGAAGGGCTCTGTGAGCAGATGGAACAGCAGATGAAACTTTATGTATCTTTATGTTGTGGCATCAGGCCTTCAGAAACAGTAAAACCCATTCCTGCAGAGTTGAGAGGGTTGAGAGTGAAAGGGTGGTGCCTATGTAGTGAGCTTCCACCTGCCTTTTGTGACTGCTATGAAGGGTCACTTTCTCATGTCAAAGGCAGCTAGTGACAGAATGAGTCCCAAGTAAAGAAGAATAGTCTGCATTACCCCTTTTGTGGGTTCTGTATTTCTCAGATACTTGAGTTGTGGGGAAATTAGCTCCCTCTTGTTTCTGTCCTGTTTAGAGGCTTGAGGGAGACTACTTGCCCGTATTTTTCTACCAGCTGAAATACTGCACTTGTAAATTTGAATTATTGTACCATGAGTTTCAGTCAATTGCTTATAGATCCATCCTCAAATCACTTGATCAGATATACCGTAAAACTGAAAACCGACACGATGCTTTTAATTTCAGAGGTGATTTGGACAGTGTTGCTCAGTGTTGAAAAATCTTCATTCATCACTAACTTGCAATGTATTTTCAATGCAACCCTGCAATACAGCGACAACACTCTGTTTTTTATATGTCAGAAATATTTGGTTTGGCCAGGGATGGCCACGTAACAAGGAAATGTGTACCAGTGGCATCTAGAACACCTTTGGGAGACAGCAAACTGTGATCCTTCATCTTAATTATCTTCTGGCTTGGTGTGGACTGACGTCTTTGAAGTGGCAAGTGAGGAATAATGCACATATTTATAAAAGTTTGTTTTCTCTGAAAGTAGGTAGGAAAAAGTTGACTTCCCGGAAGTTTTTATAATAACTTTAAAAAACCCTCTCCTTCAAAAAACCAGTAATGTAGAATTCTAGTGACTCAACAGGCAAGTCTATCTTATTTCATACTTTTGAATGAAAAGTGTGCATGACTGTGCCATCAGGCAGGGCGCGATCCTTGTGTAGTGTTGAAGCTACCACATTGTCTGACTTTCAGTTCACAGCCTGAAACAGTCAAGTATTGGGATAGTCTCCTTTTTTCACTTCTGGTGTTACTGGAATTTTTTATCAACCAGAAGTGAAAAAAAAAAAGCCCCTACACTTTTAAAACTTTTTTAAGATGGCCAAAGGAGTAATGAGATTAAATTCAGGAAAATAGCTGAAATATTTTAAATCAGAAATTCAGAGTTTATTTTAGTAGGGATCACTGTAAAAAGTGTATGTTAATTTATAAGCTTTGCTCAGTTAGACCTCTTAATGACCATGTGAGGGAACCATATGTCATTATCCTATGAATGACATATTGAGGCACATAAATTTTTAGTAACTTTCAGATGCTCTAGTGAGTTAATGTTACTACCTGGTTTGGAATTTGCAGGTATAATGGATATAGTGAATCTGTTACATCCTGTGTTTTACTCTTTTGTTCCTGAAGAGAGAACCATCATTTTACATTTAGTAACCACTGTAATGGCTGCATATAATTAAAACCTACGGTTTTCGATACCAACTGTGAAATAACTAGAGCTTGGTAAAAATACAGGATATTATTAATTAGGCTTTTGTTTAGTCCTTTGTTTTTTGCATATCTAGGAATGCGACATCCAAGAGAAGATTAACTTTGAAATCCGCATGCGGGAAGGCATCTGTAAACTACTTGCAGTGAGCACACAAAAAGACCAGCTCTTGCAATCGGTTAAAAACCTGATGGTTTGCAATGCTCGCATACTTGCATACAGGACAGAGCTACAGAACCAAAAAGAAGAGCCGTGCAGAACCGATGAACGGTGAGTAACAGCTCAAATTCGAATGGAGCGTTATGAAGCGGGCTTTTACTTACGTGAATTCTTAGCAGCCTGTCTAGGAAAATGGATTTAAACTCTTATTTCTGTCTTCCCCCATACAAACATATGTTACTGCTGCCATAAAACATTACTTTACAAGACCATTCCAGTCTCTTTTCTTTAGAAAATTAAATACAAGTCATGTTTTTGTGGGTAGATGTCAATAATGACATTAAACTATAACTCAGCATCTGAATGTCAGGTAACAGAATAGATGTATTTTCTTGATTACCTTTAGCATACAAAAAGGTACCTAACCAAGTCTGAAGGAACTAAACAAAACTATCCAAGTCAGAATACACCTATTTCTACTTTTATTTCTTTCTATTGTTATTAAAGCCCCTTTAATCTTGGAATCATCCTGGTTAATTGGTACCCTCTGCTGGCCACGTCTGTTAACTACAGCAAAGTAATAAACAGCAATAAATACGAAGAAAAATCAGTTTAATTGAAAATATTCTCAGGTTATAACTCTTGAATGAGCTAAAGTATATGTGGTTTATTTGAATAATGTTATAATTTTTTAGCTAATAGAATACATTTTGGGTGCAATGTTGAGAATCATGATGCAGACACTCTTGCTCTCAGGTTATTACTTTAATGAAATACTGTACTGCAATTTACCATAGAAAGTCTTTGAGTACATACTTAGCTCCAGGTACTTGTATCTATAGGAACAGTCCTGATACAGTTTGCTTTCAGAAATGGAGTCTTATAGGAGAAATTTATTGAAGGAAAGAACTAAGTTTTCTGACTGTAACAACTATTATTGTGAATGCTGATTTTGAAAACTAGCACATATAACGTGTGGTATTCTGTAATTATTACAGCTGTATTGCTTTTCCCTACTAAGATGAAGACCTTTACAGTGATTCATCTTTTATTTATGTTTTTAACGATGGAATAATATCAAACATGTATATATACTGATTCACTCAACTCCTGGTCTTTGACGCTGGTGACCACAGAAAGGTGATGGCACGTGTCCAGAATGGGGCAGAGATACTTGGATGTATATCTGAACAGCTACATTGTTTTCTTACAGTCACAGTCAGTGTGGTGTTTACTTGATTTGTGTGTGTCTGTCTGTCTGTCATTCATTGCCTAGATTTCTCTCTTAAGGGCTCCTTTGAATTCTCAGTGGAGGTCATTAGAAGAGGTGAATGCTATGGAGTTATTCCTCTACCATTTAGATCATATCTTTGATAGCTGATAGTGCATTTGCAGTTCTTTTTTTCAGTATTTCCTCAAGACTGGAATTTGGTTAAAGCTTAATCCAGATAAGGTGATGATGGCTGAGAGAGAAAATTCTAGGATTTTCAAGTGAATTTTGACCCTGTTTCTTGTTATGTGAGTCTGTAATCTGTGAGTTCTGAAGATATTATAACTGCCTCTTGGAGTCAGGATATTGGTAGAAGCAAGAAATTTTAATTTCACTTTGTGTGGTTAGGAGTTAGGAGCAGTGACAGATAGAAGGAGAGTACTCTGTTGTACTCATTATCTACAGATTGTTTTGATTCAATTTAAGGTTGACCTTGAGATCTACCCTCTGACTACTTAGCAAGCTGTCTGCCTGCATGTAAAAGCGCAATATTAACTATGCAACATTTTGTAGTTGGTCTCTGTTAATAGAGGAGGAGGCAATTCTCTAACCAATAATAGAACCAATACATTAATTTGCTTATTCATTGATGTGTACAGAAGGGGAAAAGTTGATAACTTGTTTGATTCTGGAAAAAAACAAGAAGATGAATTTACTTATCTTTTAATACCCAGGTTAAATAAGCTTTGGAGTAAGATCTTCTAGGGAATTAAGAAAATTAATGGTGTACCTTCTTTCCAGATTATCCTCAAGAATCTATTGATTCCTATCTTAAACCAGAGATGCCAAATTTAATTTCAGAGAAAAGTGTTTGAAATGAGCTATAATATGAAAACCCTGACACTTTCTAATGTTTAAAGGGTTGAGTTTTAGAAGTGTAAATGCACAGATCTCAAACCTTGTTTTTCTTTTCTTCTTTTTGTCAGGTCTTCAGAAAATGGGACAAAAGATTGGGTGGCATGCAGAGCAAAGGTTGCTATATCAGGTAAGCGACTGGATAGTCAATTATAGGAGCTAATTGGCTAGACAGCAACTTGTAATATGAGTTATACGAATAAGATGGTATTTTTAAGCGTGTGTGTGGTTCAGGAGTATAAATCCTCTTGTGCTTCAAGGGGACTTATGCTTTTAAGTCACACATATTTTTTTTTAAGATCTTACCTAGTATTTCCATTTTACTTTCAGGGACTTTCACAGTGGGAAGTACTTTTTTTCTATTTGTCACTGAACACTGAATACATTTCAAAGCTAAATAAGTGTAAATATGCTGATAACTTTTTTTTTTTCCTCACCACAAAGACAAACTTTGATGTAATTGTACAGGGTATGTCTAACAAATTGAGGGCAGAGTTATAACTGGTATGCAAATGTTATTTAGTTAATGCAGATTACATTACTACAGCAAAGTTATAGTGGTATGGCTTCAATGCAAACTAGTGACAAGAATATTTACAGTGATTTCCAGTAGGGTGGTACACTGTTTCCTAGCCTGTTCTCAAACTTCAGCACTATGAATGTATCATTTTGTTTGCCTGTGCTAATAGTGGATGTTACTATGTTCAGCATTCCTGTAGTTGTTCATTGTGGCTGTTCTGCTAGCCAGAACCTGCTTCATTAAATATAAAATAGTGTGTAGAAGGGCTCACTCCTTGAACTGTTTATGTTAATTCTGCATATTTTGACATATCTTTAAGCAAGGTAACTTCTAGTAGAAGAAGAGTGATGAGCACATGGTTCAATAGTGTTTTCTGCCAGCACAGCTGTTTGCAGAATGTGTATCTGTCTTTCTTCCTTATGGTAGTTGGATGAAAGCATCTGTTTGCTTGTCTGTGCTGTGGTTGCACCTTTCTTCAGATTTATAGAGTTATCTGCAGTGAAGAATTTAGGATCATACACTTTTGTTATCTTTAGAAAATCAGAATTGTTAAAGGACTGTATTTTTAGTATGAAAAATTTGTTTAGGTTATGAAACATTTAGCTAGTTTCTTTTGATGGGACAAGAGAATAGAAGGGTGAAATACAGTACTTCCTATTATGTGCCATCTGTTAATGATTCTGTCCTATTACTAACTTAGTAATTCTCAAACTGGATGTTATGACCCTCAGAAGTATGGCATAGATCGAGGCAAAGAAGAGAAAGAGGCATCAACTACCTCATTGTGAACTCAAGTCTGTGAATGCCGGGATGATGCCGTGGCTCGCCACTCTTCAGATATTTATGTCAGGAAGCCTACCCAGGTCCAGTTTACAGCAGGAAAGCCTAAATGTTTTTCTTGGCCTCTACTGAGAGATTTATCCTTTCTATAGGTGACCTGGTATTAACTGCTTATATTCCACTGCGTGTTCCTGAGAAGCAGAGAACTGGGGTACCTGAGAAGTAATTGTGGGATCAGGCTTGTTTGTGCTTGGTGAGGAAAGGCAGGAGCCTCCGGGCCAGATACATGATTGGGAGATCCTGAGATGACATTCATACATGCCCCCCTGGTTCCTCCTTGCATTGTCCTCTGCCCCATTATCTTGTGTCCATTTAGCATGCCAAATCAGCTCTTGTCTGCTTCCACAGCTGCAGTATGTTCACATCTGTAATGTCCCATAATTCTTCTTTCCCAATCCTTGTGTAGCAAATTGGGCCTGCTGCCTTTATTCTCTCTTGTACAGACTTTCAGTGGATATGCATCTGGAGTTGCCCTGCATGTTTGGAAGGCACACGTGCGCGTGCATGAGCCTGCCTTCTTGACAATGCAGTTGTGAAAACAAGCAGCATGAATTGGGAGGTGTCGTGACTGAATTGTCTGGGAGAGGTTGGAAATGAAGAGTGAGTGGTAGTCCATGTAATAAGACAGGGCATGTAACTTAAGAATTGAAGTTATAGAATGGATTTTTTTAGGGGAAAGTAAAACACCCAATTATAAATATATTCGTGTATCGTATGGTTAGTACATGCCAGAAGCTGAGACTGTTAAAAAAATAAAAATGCAATCATGTGGCCAACACCAAAAGTTCAGGAGCAGCTATGCAGGAGTACTGAGTAACGTACTCCTACAGGAAGCAACTGTAGTCAGATACTGTGTGGGGAGTGCATTCCTTAATCCACAGATTTTCACACTTTTATTATTTTTACTTATTTATCCCCCACATGTGTGAATAAATTATATAATTTATGATATCAATCAATTATTTTGTCAGAAGACAATACATTAAATGTTAATCAAAAAGCATAATCATAATTTAAAATAATTCTATAAACGAATCGTTTTCTTTAAATCTGATTAATTTTAGTGCTTGAATGTACCCAGTTTGAATCTGCATGGATTTATAGCTAATGGTAACTGAAATTAAGGTGTGTGAAAATTGATCTTTGTTTTTGATAAATGGCAGCTCTTTCAATCCAAAAATGAATTGAAAACTGATTTACAAGTATCATGTTAAACTTGTACAAGCTATTGACTATGTATAGCCTGATGATTTTCTGACTAAGGTGTAAATTTTTCAGCTAGCATGATATTGAAAGTGGTATACAGAACTAATCTTTAATCTAGCACTCTAATTGTTAACAAGACCTATTGGGCACATTAAAATTGTCATTTAGAGTTTGCTGTGATTAAAGGTTTGAAAAAAGGCTTTTATTGTGACTGTTTTCACATATTTGTGTAAATTAAGACCTTTATCTTTAAGGAAAGAGACATTCTGTGCTTTGTCTCTGACAGAGATAAATATGTATATGTATTTAAAGTTTGAGAGAGACTTTTGTAACTGTTTTAATGAAACTATTTCTGTTTCCTTTTTTAAAAAGAACTAACTATTCTTTAGAAATCCTTACTATGCAAATGCATCTTTAGAACTGAAAGGCAGTTTCAGAACGTGATGACATTGATTTTTAGGAAGTTGTGGCAGTCTAAAGCTGTATACTGGCAGTTCACTGTTGAAAATCAATTTGTTTTCATGAACACTTAAAAACAGATGAATTTGCAACTCTCAAAATTGAAATAGCATGCATAATAAGATGTCCCATAATGTAATCAACATTAACTTAAACTTAATTTTTTCATTTAATATAACTTCTGAAATAGAGTGACTATACGCAGTTTCATTTAATTCATCGAGTTTTGTGGATGAAACTCTGTAGGAATGCATGACAATCTGTTGCCAAAATACCACTATTGTTTTGCGTCTTAGCATAATATATGTGGATTTTTCCATCAGCCTCATATGAAGACCAATACTGGAATCAGCAATGCTCCTTTATAACAATATTGAAAATTTTTATCGAAAGACAATTGAGCTAGTGCTGTTCACTGCTGCCATCATGTGTCACTTAGTATATTGCATGTACTTTTAAACACTTGTACTTAAACCAACTTCAAATTTATAAAGCTTCCACTGCATTCGTCTTTTAACAAGGGACTAACAACCCGAGTCTAAACCTGAGGCCTTGAAACTGGAGGAAAATGTCACTCAGCACTGTGTTGGATTGAGTAGATGAATTGGAAAATTTGTTGAAGAAAATACTTTCCTAATATTAAAATAACAGGCATGACTTAAAATAATGGTTCTGTAATTGCCTTTCTACTATGGTTCTGACGTAGAAGGATATTTCTGAGTTTAAAAAAAAAAAAAATTCTGAACTCTTTTTATGCCAACTAAGACAATTCTAGTGGGGAATGTGATTTCAAGTGATATTTTCTCTGTGGTTAGCAAAGCAAGACTTTTTGCAGTGTAAGTATCCCAGTCTTTCCATTAAAACAGGAAGTTTTTCTTCTTGCATTTGGATGAGTGGTTTCCAGCACAAGGCAAGCAAAGTTGCAGTTTACATTTATGCATAATAATGGGCTCAGAACCTCTGAGTTCTGAGAATACCTCTGAGAACTATGTTGCACAGCCACTCTGAAATGTTACTTCAGGTACTTTCAAATGACATTTAAAATATTCTTTATCCTAGCATAATTTCTAAAAGAAAATGGCACTTCAAGTTGAACTAATTGATGAATTTTCTTTTGACATGGATAATAAAATTGAAATAGTTATGCTGTTCTTTGGGTAGAAGGTCCTGTTACCTTCAGAGCATACGGAAAAGAAACAAGAAACTTTTTGTAATTTGTTTTGATGGCAGATCTCTACAGTATTTGCTATAAACTATTTTCCCTACCTTTTTTTTTCCTTTTAGATATTCGAATACCATTAATGTGGAAAGGCTCTGATCACTTCAGCAATAAAGAAAGTATGTAATATGTAGTGAACTACTGTGATAAGTAATTGCTTATGCCTTTAAATTTAAACTGGATAGGGAAATCTGTACTCATTTCAACTCCTTTGACCTTTCAGTTGGTCCGTATTTTACCCTTTGTTTATTGCGTAGCTGCTTTTAGCTTGAAGTTGTTGGTTGTAGCAAGTTGAGTTAGTTCAAAGTCCTGTGCTTCTGTATGTTTAAACCCTAGTCACTAAGAAATCCTCCTGAGGAGACATTCCAGAGGAAGCAACAGAAAAGTGTTGTTATTAAACGGATAGCTGAGAAACTTCTGATTAAACATGTTTAATCTGAGTCTTGTCTAACCTCGACAGAGTATACTGGAGGCTGTTTCCAGTGAGAAATTTAAATAAAAGTTGTCTGTTAGTGTTGAATGTAATATTGGATAGTCTTCAAGTACATGCATTTTGCTGTGTCATGGAGATTAACCCTAAATCTGTTCCAGCTGTCACCTGGCATTGATTTCACTTTGATTTTCAATAGGGTCAGAGGGGCTAAGCATGGCAAAATAGTCTAATCCTATATAGTACATTGATAAAATGATACAGGCTTTGGATCAAATGTTAGGGTTTTTTGGCTTAAAATCAGTTTTGTTAAACAAAATTACATTTTTACTAACGTTTCTGAAGTTGCTAGCACGAACTACTCTTATTTTTAGGAAAAAAAAAAAAAAAGTTGAGCAGAGGTAGGCATTTTTCCCTCTGTGAATGTTGTTCTACCTATACAGCAGCTTTGACGTTTCAATTATCATAAAATCCTCTCATGAAAATTTATGGTGGGAAGAATTTGAGGGCAATACCTTAGAGATCTGAATTACCATTTCTTCTACTTTTGTTTACTGGAAGCTTTTAGTATTGTGATGTGTAGTATGGCTAATAAAACATTTCTTTGGCTCTCTTCAGAATCACAGCGCTATGCAGTTTTTTGTTTGTTCAGAATGGGAGCTGAGGTTTTTGATACAGAGGTGGCTATTGTGGATAAATCAATAACAGATATCTGTTTTGAAAATGTAACCATATTGTGAGTATAATTTATTTCTGTTGAATGAAGTACAAATTCTGCTCTTTTCTTTTGAAAGTGGGTATGATTATGAATAAAATTGGCTGAGGACTGTTAAGTTTTTCTGTAGGTAAAGACTCAGTAGAGGTCTTATTAATTTCAATGGATGGTGGATCCCCACCTCTGGAAGGTTGTTTTTTATGGACATAATGATGCTGGTTGTAGATGTGCCACTTGAACTGTACTACTTTTCATTTTTGCAATGTATAGGCATGAACGTTGCACCCAATGTTCTAGGTATTATTCTGTACAGCTGGGTACGGTCTTTTTCCACACCTCGTGTTCTGTTACAGCCTTACGAGCATGTGCAACAGCCACAGTCCATATAGTTGAAGAATATGAGACAGGAAATTATTCACTTATCTTTAAAAGTAACCTGGAAAAGAGTAGAAAGGTGTTCTTATGTATGTTTTTGTTGCTTTATAATTTTTAAGAGTCCTGAGAGACACGTAACTCACTCCCACCCCACCAACCCCTGCTTTATTTTTCATATTAGCAATTTAGATTCAGTGTCCTGAGGAAGAGTGACAGGAAAGCTAGAACTACTGAAAACTTTAACTCAAGATCCTGAAAACTGAGTGGTTGAGAGTGGATCTTTAAATCAGATTTTAAACTCTCTTAAACACGTGTTCAAGTTGAGAGTGGGGGCAAAGATTTAAATCTGCTTTTTCAAAGATACAAGACTTGACCGTTATCATTTTTTGTGAAATACTGCAACAAAAGCAGAAAAGGCTCTCTAACTTGCCTTGTATCCTCCTCCAAGGTAAAGAGAGACTTTTTATAAAAGCCTGTGGGATGATTTCCTGGGCATGTGTATAATGACATGATTTGTACCTGAAAGATGAGGTTAGGCTTCTGGTTTGATGACTAAACTTGAGAACAAGAGAATCGGTTGAACTGAAAACAGAGAAAGCATAGGCTGTGGCCAGAAGAACGTAGCAGTAGGTAGTTAAGTTATGAATGACAAATTTTATTGGTTGTAAGTGAGGTAGGATTTTTTCAGTAATGTGGAGGGGATGGGGTGCGACTAAGATATCTTTAAAACAATTCAATCTGATTTAGGACCATAGGCACAGACAGGTTTTCAATCATGGGATTTTTGCATAACAGTAGAGGGCAGATTTAAGTGTGTTTGAATGTCTTGCCTGTGTATTTCCATAACATGGGGTGGTTTTTTTTTCAGTTTTTAACATAAACATTGAATTTCCTGTTTGCAATTGTTTATGGTTTAATTATAACATCCATCTCATGACTTCAACACTGTTACTGCTGTGTACTCTAGTCTTTAATTCCGTATTAATGTATGTCTTTGCCTGAATCTTATGGCATTCCTTCTCTTGATTAGAAATACACGTTATTTTTTTTTATATATATATATATATAT